AGTTCTCCAGGCAGAGAACAGAGCAGCACTAAGGGGCAAGCAGTGACATGACAAAGCTTAGCCAAGTCCAGGTTCAGGAGTCCAGTCACAGGTTAGTGAATTTACTCTAGTGAAGTAAATTCATGCGAGTTCATGTTTAAACCATGAGTGATTTCTCTCTGTATTACAACTCCTCCTGCAAGAAAGCACCCAGGATCAATGTAATAGGCAATGCTCATTACATCCACTTTGTGGCTGAAGTGTCCTAGACAGTTGGTTGTCTGAGGTAACTAATTCAAAGACTGGAAGACAAAATCACTATCTGTGTCCTCAAGTCACCCTTTGCTCAGTGGGGCTTCCCTAGGATCGAGGGAGAATACTAAAAGTCTGAACTTTGGCTCTCTCTTTCTCTGAGGCAGCCCATTCCTGGAGTGACCTTTTTTCACTGCAGTCATTTCTCATGGATAGGAGTCTGGTTGACCTTGTCTCTTGTGTCTCCCAGGCAATTAAACAGCCACAGTCAGCTGTGTCTTGATTGTTCAAAGACTTTTTCCTCTTCTCATTGACTTTACTGGAGTAGAATGCTAAATATAAGCACTGGTTCCCCTATCTCCCAGGCCTTTCTATGTAGACAGACTCGTTATCACTAATAGATTACGCTTACAAGCCTGACAGGAAGAGCAGAGAAATAGAAATGGTGGTTTGAGTGGTACTGGGGAAAAAAAAAAAAAAAAGACTTTATAAGTTTCTCAATTAGCAGGATCAAACACAGAAGGGAAATAGTGTGCCTTAATAACCATGCTCTTGGAGGTAGCCTTAAGAAAGTTAGAGAAATGAATGAACACCCATGGTCTGAGACAACTATCTCAGTAAACCACTCTGAGATATTTACTAAAGAGATAATGACCATCCTTATTTAGATCATGGGGTTGTAAATGTGGGTAGTAGAAATGGACGAGAAGCCAAATGGGGTCAGTGATAATCTTGGGCACACAGAGCCAAGGTGGGAGGCTGCTGATTGCTTAAAGCTAATGACTGGCCAGCTGGAAGATGATCTGAATTAAAAGAAAAAAAAAAAAAGTCAGAAATGTGAGACTTAGTATGAAAATTCAAAGTTTTACATGTTGGCAACTTATTTAAACATTATTTTACAAATGTAGTTAAAATGTGACCAATGTGTCTCTCCCTTATATTTTCAGTGCACTAGTTTCATTCCTTATCCTTGTCTTAGGGGCAATTTTAAGGCAAGTGGTGAGTATACTTTTTATTTTAAGGACTAGAGGCCCAATGTACAAGATTTATGCAAGAATGGGCCTTCCTTCCCCTGGCTGCTGGTACTGTCTTCCCTCCGGCCAGAGCCCCCTTTTTGCCTTAGCTCTGGCCCAGAGCCACCTTTCCATCTTCTCACACTGCCCGGAGGCCCAGAGAGGCTGGGGCGCTACAGAACACCTGCATCATCACCACAGTGATGATGCAAGCGTTCCGCTCCCAGCCACTCAGAGCCTGTGTATGCCATCTTTGTTGGGTTAATTTTATACCCACTCCTGATTGGCTGGTGGGCGTCGTGATGGTACGGTCAATTTGCATATATCTCTTTTATTTGTGTAGATCATGCGTCTTCAAACTACGGCCCGCAGGCCACATGCGGCCCTCAGAGGAGTCTGATCCAGCCTGCCAGGTTTTTTGGGCAGTGAGTGCAGCTGAGGTGTTACAGTAGGAATTAGTAGTTCATATAGTCCGGCCCTCCAGCTCTCTGAGGGACCGTGATCTGGCCCCCACTTTAAAAAGTTTGAGGACCCCTGGTAGATGAAGTATGATACATGGAGTTAGACTTTGAGTATCTGTCTTGGAATAGATTAGGATGCAGAAGATCTATTCCTGGGGCAGGATCACATCTCTACTCTGGGTTTGTTATGAGATCCAATAGTATAGATATTGACAAACATCAGATATTATTGTGTCATGGTAAATATTCAAATATTAATTAGCCTACTTGCCCATATTCATAAGGGATTGTTGGCACTTTGCTGCTTAAAAGTGTGTTTCTGAATAGAATATGGAAGCATTAATTATGCATTTGGTTGATGTGTGAATCTCCTTCAGGGGCCTACTCTAGAATTGGCACTGTGGAAATATTGTGGGTATTGGTAAATTGAATATGGTACTAGCTCTACCTGCCAGAGTGAGGTCTACAAAGGAGATAAAACATGTTTCCAAGTGCTGATTCAAAGCACATAGGACAATTTATTGTAAGCATAGAATTGCACACATCTCCTATAGTAGTAACCCAGGTTATAATAATCAAATCTAATAGCTTCAAATACTTTTCTTATTATTAGTAATATGAAACCAAGGAAAGAACACCCGTAGAAAGACTGAATGAGTAATTTCAATAATATTGAGTACTGAGTACACAGTGTATCACTCCCCTATCAGCCTGATTGATGCCTATCTGCTCCCCTGCCAGCCTGATTGCCTCTATCTGCCCTTTCCTGCAGGCCTGGTCACCCCCAACTGCCCTCCCTTGCAGGCCTGATCACCCCCACTACTTCCCCTTGCAGGCCTGGTCCCTCCCAACTACCCTTCCCTGATGGTCATCTTGTGGTGGTCATCTTGTGTCCACATGGGAGCAGCTATCTTTGACCACAAGGGGCAGCCAGCTTGTGTGTTGGAGTGACAGTCAATCTGCATATTACTATTTTATTAGATAGGATTTAAAATTTCATTTTTATGGAAACTTTAACTATAGAGTATGTGAAATTGATATCTTTATTTTTACCTGAAATATTGTAATGGCACTGAGATATAAATGTATACTTTCTGTTTGCTGTGGTATCTTATAATAATTCCAGAAATGAAGAAATGAAATTTCTCAGTTAGTGTTAGACACTGTTTATTAGCATATCCCAGCAATTATATGCCAAATTGTAAATTTAATTGTCAAGGTAACTTTAAAATTATCAACTGTTGATTGTAATTTGTCAAATGGTCTATAGATGAAAAATACACATGTAATGTATTAGGTTAAAAATGCTCTTTAGGAAATATCTGGAATCTTATAGCTTTGTTTCCACACTTATTTCAAGGTATATAAAATAAAGCAATCAAATGGAGAATAACATCCAGGAAAAATAAATAGCAGGCATAAATTATGAGATTGAAACTGAGCTTAAATTGGACTTGGATTCTTATAGCATTTGGTTGTTTTCAATCTAGGTTTCCTAAATAACACAGATTTTAGATGTTTTGTAAGGAAAGTGTTAGGAAATTATTTAGGATACCAACTCAAATATGTGTCAGTAGGATGCCTTCAGTTACAAGTAACAAAATTTCCTGATTTTACTGGGTTTAAATAAGAAAGGATTTTATTATCGCCTATAAAAGAAAGTTCAAAGGAATGGCTCACGCTAGGCTTAAACTCTGTTTCTCCTGAGTCTTTCTGAGCTTCACTCCCTAAGGCTATCTTACACACTCCTGGATAAAGAATGGCTACAACAATTTGAGAAGAATTAGCCTATCATGATAATGTGCTGTGAAGAAAAGCAACCATCTTTTCTTTTTGTTCTCTTAAGATGAATATACCTTTCCCAGGAGCACCTGCTCTAACCCCTGCAGAGATCTCCTCACATTTCATTGGCCACAATCGCATTATACTTATTTCAAAACTGATCATTGGTGACAGGAATTGGATTTCCTTAGGACAGTCAGGATCATCTCTTGGCTGGGGTTTGACCCAGGGTCTCTAAAATTTATGTCTGTGTGAAGGAGCATAGATACTAGAATGAAAGCAAATTATTGTTGGAAAGGAGAAAGGAGAATGGCTACTTGTTAGCTGACTGGCATGGCCTCCTATAGAATAGTTCTAAATGTGGCTAAGAATGGAATGACTGTGGAGATCAAATAATCTTCGAAATTCTTCAGAGATTGGCTTTTTGATTTCTGGATGGTCCCCAACACCAGTACTTACCCTCTTCATAATTACAGCTTCTTAGAAATTTGAGCTGGAAGAGACCATTTGAGTCTGTTTGTTAAAATGACTTCTCCAAAGTCACACAGTAAATTCATGTCAAAGCAAGGGTAGGTTTCTTGACTTAGAACAGGGTATTTTCTTTCATTCTTTACCCCTCACACTTTAGAACTATTAGAATTGCAAGCTCTGTGCTCTCTCTCTCTCTCTCTCTCTCTCTCTCTCTCTCTCTCTCAATTAACAGTTCCTCAAATACATGTATTTTGTTTGTTTAGCTTCCTAGAAACTAAATTGAGTCTGTTATTTAAAAAAACCTGCTGAAGTCTTTATTCTGCTTTGATATCATGTGCATGAACCACCAGGCTCACCTCACATTTGATGCAGATCCTCTTCTTTCAAGATGTCTCCATATTGCCGAAACTGGTTTGGCTCAGTGGTAGAGCGTCGGTCTGCGGACTGAAAGGTCCCAGGTTCGATTCCGGTCAGGGGCATGTATGTTGGTTGCGGGCACATCCCCAGTAGGGGGTGTGCAGGAGGCAGCTGGTCAATGTTTCTCTCTCGTCGACGTTTCTAGCTCTCTATCTGTCTCCCTTCCTCTCTGTAAAAAATCAATAAAATATATTAAAAAAAAAAAAAGATGAATCCCTATTGCTTCCCTACCTTCTTTTGTTCCATCTATGACCAATTTCCTGTTTCTAAATAGACTTTGTGGTCCACCTTCTCTCTTGTGCCAGTTCCTAGCCACTAATAATGAAGGCTGTGGTCCTTACTGTTCTTCCTACAGCCTATCCAGTTGTGTTTGTTCCACACATTCATATTCTTATGTCCCCCAAATCTGGGATTATTTTGGTAACTACTGCACTGGGAGAGAGTCAAACTAATCATTAAAGTGTTGGGACAGCTTCTCCTATTATAATTTCTCTTCTGTTTTTACAATCCAGGGGGAGTGCCTTCTTGTACTCTTATTACATATAGTGTACAAATAGCATGTGATTTATGGCCCATGCTAAGCCTGAATGCTTATGATTTACTTTGTATTTGTCTTCATTTTCAGGACAAGATGTTGATTAATATAAAGAGCATCTTATGGATGTGCTCTACCTTAATAGCAACCCATGCACTACGTAAAGGTGAGTGTTCGGTAACATTTTCCTTATTGCTAAGCAAAATAAAAAGTTGAGTATTGGGGCATGAAATGGCAATGTGAAATCACTAGAATAAAGGATGAATTTTAAAAACAAATCTATTCAGTGCTGAAAATGTTTCGTTAAAATATTATTAGGCTGAAAACTGGTTTTCAATCCATGAATCAACCAAAACAAAACAATGAAAAGAAACAGGTGGGCTTTCATAAATGTCCCAGATGACTTGGTGGACTGTGCAAAAAAAAGACTCCTACAGCCATCCTTTGGTATCCACAGGGGATTGGTTCCAGGACCCTCCACAGATACCAAAATCTGAGAATGTTCAATTCCCTTATATATAACTAGAGGCCCAGTAAATGAAAATTCATGCACTCAGGGGGAGTCCTTCAGCCCAGCCTGCACCCTCTTTCAGTCCGGGATCCCTCAGAGCATGTCTGACTCTGACAGCTTAGGCCTACAGCCCAGTGGATCAGGCAGCCCCGGAGCCCTCAGGGGATATCCGATTAAAGGCTTATCGGGCCTAAGCCTTTAGTCGTACATCCTTAGTGCTGCTGTGGAGTGGGAGAGGATCCCGCCGCTGCTGCCTCTAAGCTGGCCAGCTATGAGCCAGCTTCTGGATGAGCGGCGGTCCCCCTGTGGAAGTGTACTGACCATCAGGGGGCAGCTCCTGCGTTGAGCATCTGCCTCCTGGTCGTCAGTGTGTGTCATAGTGACCGGTTGTTCTGGTTGGTCCTCCGCTAAGGTCAGTTTGCATATTACCCTTTTATTATATAGGATGGCATAGTATTTGCATATAACCTACCATATTTTTGGGACCATAAGACGCTTCGGACCATAAGACGCACCAGTTTTTAGAGAAGGGAAATGAAGAAAAAAAGATTCTGAAACAAATAGTGTCCTAAAATATTTTATGTGCATTAAAACCCAACATCACAGTCATAAACACATGTAATCAACCCTGTAAAGTAAACAGCAGCATTTAGAACCATTTTAGAGCCGGGCAAGCACACAGAGACCACACAGAGCCGGGCAAGTAAAAAAACCTTTTTTTTTTAAAGTATATGTGTAGGCTATATTTGGACCATAAGATGCAGGGACTTTCCCCCCCCCCATTTCTGGGGGAAAAAAAGTGCGTCTTATGGTCCGAAAAATACGGGTATATACATCCTCCCATATACAATACTTTAAATCATGTATAGATTTTTTATAATTGCTAATATAATATAATGTAAATGCTATGTAAATAGTTAAACTGTATGGTTTAGGGAATAATGACAAGAAAAAAAGTCTGTACATGTTCAGTACAGAGACAACCATCTAAATTTAACCACATAGTACACATCAGCAACAATATAAGATTTAAAAATTTTCAATTTTCAGTTGGTTGGGTCTGTGGATGCAGAACCTACAGTTATGGAGGGCCAACTATCTATGCCATTAAGCAACTTTTCCATCTTCTTCAATATTACTCAAAGACTTTCCTACTAAAAAAAATAGCAAACTCTCAGAAGACTAGATTTTGAGAAAGACCAGGAAAATAAAGAAAAGACTGAGAGCCAAGTATTTGCCCCTACCTCCTTTCTTCTCTCTCTTTTTTCTCTTTCTTTCTTTCCCTCCCTCCTTCCTTTCCTCCCTCTTCCCCTCCCCCCCTTTTTCCCTCTCTTCCTCCTCCTTCCCTCTGTAACTGGATAAGTTCACATGCACTGTTTTTCTTAGCTTTAGATTAATTACCCCCTAAATGAATGTTTTATAATCCCAAATTTGTGGACTATGGCCCATGTAGAATGATACTGCCTTGAACTTCAGTGATCTACTCCTGCCTATTGTACCTCTCCAGAGTTAACTTCCACTTTTTTCTCAACTCATTCTACACTTCAGACTCTCTGAACTAATTTATAATTCCATCAGACTTTCATATTACATGTTTTTTCACATGTAATTTTTTCTGTTTGATAGTTCATTCTCTTGTTCTCTACAGTTCTACTTCAACTTATCAAGAGTCAAAATTTAAGGTATCACTCCATCCACCTATTTATTCACCCATCCACCCCCATCTACTCATATATATCTACCACTGTGTTATATACTTTACTCCAAAAATAAGTGTGTTTTTTTTTTTTTTTTTTTTTTTTTTTTTTTTTTTTTTTTTTTTTTTTTTTTTTTTTTTTTTTGTAAATCTGTTATCAGAATTAGGAGATGCAATTAGTTGGGGCTAATTTCAGAAGAATTTAGTTTTTTAAAAATATATATTTTTATTGATTTCAGAAAGGAAGGGAGAGGAAGAGAGAGATAGAAACATCAATGATGAGAAAGAATCATTGATTGGCCACCTCCTGCATGCCCCCACTGGGAACTGAGTCCCCAACCCAGATATGCCCTTAACCAGAATCGAACCCAAGACCCTTCAGTCCACAGGCTGACACTCTATCCTCTGAGCCAAGCTGGCTAGGGCAAGAACTTAATTTTTTATATGAGAGGCAAAAGTTGAAAACATAAAATCTGCATAAAACATAATTACCAAGTTCATATTTAGGCACACAGCAGTGCATAGTTGTGAGTCAACACAAGTACTTACACCTTGAGTTTTTTCTGTTTATTCTTAGGCCATCAAAAAGACAATAACTAACATTAAGGAACATCTTGTGTACCGGTTATTGACTTTATTTTAATATCCAAAGAGCCCTTTGCTTTAACAACACCCATTATATTGATTATCTAGCACTGATCTAGTTATTTGAATATTCTCCTAATATTAATAAATGGAGTCATGCATAGTCATGAGTAAGTAAATGAACAAGAGAATAATGTTTATCACCCGAGAAAGAAATAACTTCCCATACTCTCAATCTGACATGTTTTTGGCCAAGGTCTCTGTGTTTATATGTGTGTTTGATATAATGATGCAGATGGAATTCACATCAGCCTTCTTCTGCAAATTTACTAACAGAGAATGAAAGGTAATTGATTATTCATTATTTATTTATTTCTCTCTTACTGTATTCGTTTAGATCACTAACCATCTGGTGGGAATAGTGAACTTTTTTTAGCATTCATTTTTATTACTTGGATTGTCAGAATTTCAGACTAGTTCTTGCAGGTAGCAATTTTATTTTTTAAACAGGAATAGTCTATAAACATTATCTTCTGAACTACTTAATTTCTTTCTTAAAATATTTAGATTTAGTGAACTTAGTTATTGTGACCCAGTACATTAAGACCCAGCATTTCATATACAAAAGAGCTGACCACACAGCTTTTTGTTAATCCTGGATTCTATATGGGATATATATTTATATCTAACCAGAGCTTTTAATTTTCGTGTACCTATTAACATGCAGGTCTATACATAGCCCTTGGGAAGTTTGCCTTTTGACATAATTTTGTTCCAGTATGTCTTTTCATTACAGCAGAGTTATTAAGGAATGCTCTGTTTTTTGAAACCTCCTGATCGGGTAGATTGGGCTGAATCTCATATCTGCCACTACACATCTAAAACTGTGGAAAGAACTATCATTTAGTAATAAATATTAAGAAACTGTAAGTCACTTACCCTAGAATCATTTTTAAGGAGGTGATAAAGAATCTTATAACATACCATCCTTGAGGTTGATGATAAGTTGTTTATTCTCCATTATAAAAAGCAATACTTTATTTCTGGTGAAGTCAATCATATAATAATTCTTCAGAAAGGAAGATAAGATTTCCTAGAACATATGATAAATATCAATTAGGAGATTCTTAGGTCACAGAATTCTCATCACTTCCCTTCTCAGGACCCCTATTCTTGGCAAAAAATAAATAAATAGTAATAAAAATAATGTAGTCATTATCTCCCTAATGGGTTCTGACTTAGAGGTCTATGCACCAGGTAGTAGTTTCTCTCTGGGAGTCTTCTGTGGACTTTATAGATTTATTTTAAAGATCATGGAATTACTAACAGTTTTTGGTTATGAAAGCAATTTAAAAAACAGGATGGGCCAAAACCGGTTTGGCTCAGTGGATAAAGCGTCAGCCTGCAGACTGAAAGGTCCCAGGTTTAATTCCTGTCAAGGGATGCATCTTGGTTGCAGGCACATCCCCAGTTGGGGGGGGGTTGTGTACAGGAGGCCGCTGATCAATGTTTCTCTCTCATCGATGTTTCTAACTTTCTATCCCTCTCTCTTCCTCTTTGTAAGAAATCAATAAAATATATTTAAAAACAAACAAACAAACAAACAAACAAACCCAGGATAGATTAGAAATAGGCTAGGTACAGACTCTGTAAAGGAAACAAAACTAATTCAGGGACAGCGGAAGAACCCACTAGATACCAAAGCTGAAAGATTCCTTGATTAGCTGTAAGGAGACCTGTCTTCTGGCCCACGTGTGTCACCAGCCAGCTGCAATCTCCAGTGTCACTTCCTCTTAGTGGAGCATCCTTAGTAAAAGATTGGACCATTTTCACTCAGGATGAGCTTTAAGTAAGATAATTTATTTTGTAAGTCAAAGAGGCCATTAAAATAGGATTATTCCATTGCTATTAGATTCTAAAATATTAATAGTGTTTGTAACATTTTAGTGATTAAGTTAGTTCAGCTAATAACACACTTCATTTAATGTTTATTTAATCTTAAGTGCCTTCAATCCTGTTTTGAACAAGCTTAATATAATTTGACAAAGTGATAAAGAAAGTTATGACAGCAATGATTATTATAAATTTGGAATGGTTACTGGTTTCTATCATCAATACAGTAAATATAAAACTGTATTAGTTATTTTATATTTAATTGTGTCACATGAAGGATTTTATAGGCCAGTCCTTCTGAAGTTAAATTTCAATCTCTAGCAATAGGGAGTATTTTTTTCTTAAAGATCGTAATATCTCCTGCAATTTTCAAAATGAATTATCCCAAACTGAATCCACAGGGCTATATTGACAGCTATATCATTTCTGATGCATGTCCATATTCACATGTAAGATAACAACACCTTTGACTATTAACATACTCTTAGATATACATCATTTGGTTAATTAAAAATCATTATTTCACTCTACCTGGAGACTACTATTGTTTATCATATTTTCATTAAGTGTAAGTTGCTTGTATATTAATGATAATTTCTATTGTTATTACCAAAATGTTGTCTAGCCAATTAGTAGACACTGGAAGAAGGGGCTGGGTGGGGAGGGAGTTAAAGAAAATTTCTGTTGCATGTAATAGTGTTAAATTATAGCCAATGCCTTCTTTCTCATTAAGAGTTTAAGGGCTTAAATAGAAAGACATTGTGCTGATTAATACTTTAGGACGGTTATGTGAACAGCTGCCAACTTTCCCCCAGGATATAATCTAGAGGTAATGTTTCACTGCAAAGTGATTGCAGCTGGTTTTGTCATTATGATGAAAGCCTTTGGTTCAAACCCTGAACCAAAAAGGGTCCCTCCAAGTGTTAGACTTCCCCCTGCTCCAGTCTACAGAAGTACTTTTTTAATTTTCACTTCCTCTTTGAGTTTTATTTTCATATCCTTTAAGATAATGTGGCAGTTATCTTAACAAACATTTTTCATCCTCTGACCTGTGACATAAATTTACCTTTTAACTGCTCTTTCTGCAATTGTTTTAGTCCTTTAAACCTGCATGGCTCATTCTAGTCTTATTTTGGCCTTGATGGCTTGCTCTTCTATAATTGCCTTATAGTATCACTATTTGTTCATGTTAAGCACTGAATTACAAATTTAAAATTAATGTCATATTTTTGGTGGATAAAATGAGCATTATTTATCCCTGTTTTTGTTATGAACATTATTGAAATTATATACTATTCTCTGTGCAGAAAATCTTTCTCATTATTTCATCCTAGAGGGCTAGTGCACAAAATTCATGCACTGGCGGGGGGGGGGGGGGCGGGCCCTAAGTTGGCAGTCAGACATCCTTAGCGTTACTGCAGAGGCAGGAGAGGCTTCTGCCACTGCCACTGCACTTGCCGGCTGTGAGGTTGGCTCAGAGCTTCTGGCTGAGTGGCACACCCCTGTGGAAGCACACTGACCACCAAGAGGCAGCTCCTGCATTGAGTGTCTCCCCCGTGGTGGTCAGTGCACATCATTGCAACCTGTTGTTCTGCCATTCAGTTGATTTGCATATTAGCATTTTATGCCAGTGGGATCAGCCAAAACTGACTCTCAGGCATCTCCCGAGGAGTCCCAGATTGCAAGAGGGTGCAGGTCAGGTCAAGGGGCCCCATTGGAGCCTGGAAGGGGTGCAGGAGGTTTGCCAGCTGGGGAGGGACTGTGGGAGGGCTCCAGGGCATATCCAGCCCATCTTGCTCAGTTCTGAAGGTCCAGACCCCAGCAGCAAGCTAACCTACCAGTCAGAGCATCTGCCCCCTGGTGGAAAGTGCATGACATAGTGACTGGTCAACTGATTGTCTGGCTCCTGGTGGTCAGTGAGCAATTGAACGGCCTTAGCATATTATTAGCATATTACACTTTTGATTGGTTGAGAGGATGACCAGACAAATGGACACATAGCATATTAGGCTTTTATTATATAAGATATGGATAAGAGTTTCTTATCCGCTCACATATTAAATAGACTCAGTTTGGGCTTTTTTAGGAATGTTAATTTGGTATTTTCTCCTTCTTGTAGTCAAAATGGAAAAAAGCCCACCTGTGAAGGGCTCCCTCTCTGGAAAAGTCAACTTACCTTGTCATTTCTCAACCGTGCCTACCTTACCACCTAATTATAACAGCAGTGAATTCCTCCGAATCAAATGGTCTAAGATTGAATTGGACAAGAGTGGAAAGGACTTAAAGGAGACTACTGTTCTTGTGGCTCAAGATGGGAATATCAAGATTGGCCAGGGCTACAAGGGGAGAGTGTCGGTGCCTACACATCCTGAGGACGAGGGTGATGCCTCACTCACCATGGCCAAACTGCTTGCCAGTGATGCGGGCCTCTACCGCTGCGATGTCATGTACGGGATTGAAGACACACAGGAGGCGGTGCCATTGACCGTGGATGGTAAGGCTTTTGGAATCTATAAGAAGGTGGTAAAACATGATACCTGGTTCAGAAGTGTTATGAAACAGTAACTCAAATGTAGTAACTATTGTTTGGGTTTTGGGCAAGTGGAAAAACCATCAGTCACCCAAAAAGTCCATGTTTTTCACCAAAAACAAACTTATTTATCTGGGGTAGAGAAGCCTGTAAGGTGACATTTCCCACAGCATCTTCAATGATTCTATGTAATCTGTAAATGATGTGCAATGATTCACTGTACTCTGGAAATAATGAATATGAAGACATAGTATATAGTTCAAGATCATTACTTTGTTTTTGAGACCTATCAATGATAGCTTTTTAAGACTAAAGGCTAATCTATTTTGTTTTAATTTTTACTTGTGTGTGTATGTATGCACATATACCTATACACATATGCATATAAACATATACATGTATATACACACATGATAAAACCCCCTTTCCTTCTTTTATTCCTCACACTCCTAACATGATTTAAAATCTCTGAGTTCACATGTAAGAAATATAAATTCTATCTTAATTTACGTTGAAGATAGAAGGCACTTAATAAGTACCATGGTACATATCACAGTGCCTTAAAAAGTCAGGGCTCAATAAATATTTGAATTGGATCAAAACAAGAACTCAGTGAATTTTTTTTTAAGGTTAATACATTAGTTATCCATTAAATCCTGCAATGAAACATTTGGGTTTTAGCCTTCTTTCAGTAGTGGTTTATGTGTCATTTGAATTTAAGTTAGGAGACAAGGCAAAGAAAAATTGTTTTAATTGGGTACACTCATAATGCCATAGCTCTTAGAAGAAGAATATTTTGGCAAGTTACTAAGCAAAATTCTCATACCCAGACATGATGGAACATATTTTTCTTCCAACCCTCCATTTCCCTATATTTACCTTTTAGAAATATATACAAAGGGCTTTATTAAAACTCTTTCTAGTATAGCCAAAAGGAAATACTTTAAATTTCAGATGCAACAAGTTAATTTTCTGGACATCCTTTTACAATCAGATTCTATAGCTCTCTCCCATAAATCTATTTTTATGTTAACCTAGCATAGACTAAATACAATGGGCTCTTCCATCTTTTAAGCTTTTTATCATTTATTTTAGTTAGCATAGAATTGTTTTGTTCTATTACTGTTTCTCTAGATAGGTGGATAATAGTGTAAGATGCATGTTATATATAAACTTATACAATAATATATATAAATATACACTACATAAATATAAATGTATTGTGTGTGTGTGTGTGTGTATATATATATATATATATATATATATATATATATATTTCACAAAGGAGTTTAACAACTTCTTATAATTTTTATCATTAAAGAATTAGCAATGGCGAGGCCGGTTTGGCTCAGTGGATGGAGTGTAGGCCTGAGGACTGAGGGGTCCCGGGTTCGATTCTGGTCAGGGGTGTGTGCCTGGGTTGTGGGCACATCCCCAGTCGGGGGTGTGCAGGAGGCAGCTGATCGATGACTCTCTCTCATCGATGTTTCTGACTATCTCCCTTCCTCTCTGTAAAAAATTAAAAAAAAAAGAAAAAAAAGAATTACCAATGGATTTGCCCTTTGCCCTTCTGAAACAATGAAAATCCTTTGCTTAATCTCCTTAGCCCCATGAGATCTTCAAATTATCCCAACAATTACAGATACTTGTACAGGCTGATATTCCCTGCCTTGGTCATGCAGGCCCTGTTGTGCCCCCTTACTGGCAATCGTCAGTGCACATGGAAGATTTTTAATTAGCAAGAAGACTATTTGAAGCTTCAGTCAACATAAGACTAATCTAAAACTATTCAAATTCTTGCTTAAGTCTTAAGGATTATTATCAACTACCGTGTTTCACCGAAAATAAGGCATCCTCCTAAAATAAGACCTAGGGCATGGACAGATAAGACATCCCCTGAAAATAAGACCTAGGGCAACTTTGGGAGAAAAAATTAGTATAAGACATTGTCTTACTTTCGGGAAAACAGGGTATGTCTCATACTTAGCCCATACCACCATATATACTTCTTGGCGATTTCAGAGTAGCTCTACAAAGGTACAAATTTTCTGAAAGGCATTTGATGACTTTTTTTATTTTACACTATTAGAAATGCAAAAACAAATGTTAGATGTCAGTGCATCTATGCAGGTCTTTTCGTGTTGATCTTGACCAGATGTGCTTATCTATGACATGGCTAGTCTGTTGCCCCATAGTTATTTTATTGGCACATGCCTCAGAGAGAATCTAAGGATGGGCATATGGGAGATTCTTATAAATAGAAGTCAGACTGGGAACAATAGACTCTTGTCAACCCCAGTAAACTACTAGGAATAAAAGGAGAGAGGAAGATAGTTCAGAAACCAAATTCATTCTCGATGACCCGAGACCCAGCTGCCCCAATTTCTATTTTCCAGTGACTTCTCAGGCACATTAGCTTGAGTCACTTTGCAGACTTATAGAAATAAGTCATCATATTTACTCCAGTTAAAAATGGAGATGCTCACCTGGCTATCATGACTCAGTGGTTAAGCATCAACCTATGAATGAGGAGGTCAAGTTCGATTCCCGGTCAGGGCATATGCTCAGGTTGCAGGCTTGACACCCCCCCCTCCCCCCCCCCAGTGTGGGGCATGCAGGAGGCAGCCGATCAATGATTCTCTCTCATCGTTGATGTTTCTTTCTCTCTCCTTCTCCATTCCTCTCTAAAAATCAATGAAAACATATTTTTTTTAAATGGAGATGCTTTTGCTGAAGTGGGAGGAGAGGACCCCCAGCTTTATCCCCAGCTGTTCTCTCCTCAGCCCTCTGTCCTCAGCAAGAGCTACTAATTTATGCAGCTCCTAAACTGCAACAAAATGGAATTTGAGGCAAGTACCAGGATTCTTGACTTCTACCCATTGAATTGGGAGAACTTTATTTCAGGACTTCCTTGGGATAAAAGTCCTACATTTTATTTGTAATAGAGGAGATCCTAAATTATACTGGTCAGTTAGGGAACATGATACACATTTGAATAGTACTTAGTAGCCTATCCAACATTTTAAAATCCTTTACCTAAGTTGACTGTTATATTAGTCAAATAACATAAGCAATATTAATTATGCTTTAAGGGGAGGAAAATGAGGCTCAATATATGAGTAGAGACTTGTTTATGATCAAGGAGCTAATTAGGAGTTAAAACAAGACTTATCACTTATACACAGTGTCATGGAAGTAAATATCTCATGTTTTATGTCTAGAGTATTTATGAAGTTATGTTATTGAATGTTCCATGTGTGGTTTTTTTGTTTTTGTTTGTTTGTTTGTGTGTGTGTGTGGTTTTTTTGTATTTTTTTTGTTTGTTTGTTTCTTGAGTTGGCCCTGAGAAAAGTCATGAAGTAGAAGCTGGTCTTGTGACCCCTTAATTCTTTGTATCTATTGCAATACCTACTCCCTTTAGTTGTCCAGTGTTCCCGTGATAGCCTAAATACTATATGCATTAAGACTACTATGCACCTGTTGGGATTTAGTGGCTTAAATCTTAGATTGTTTATGTATGAACAGAGAATTTGTGGCTAGGAAACTTTCTAATGGAGCAAAGTGGAACACCTAGGTGAATGGCAATTCTGGGGCTCCTCAGATCACCACAATTTTGCATAATTTCACATAAAGTAAAAATAAAGAATTATCATGGTGTTATTACCATGTTAGCAATTAATCTGATATACTGCTCCAGTGAGAAACTTTGCACATTGTTGTGGAAGATTTGAACATGCCAGTGATGGTTTGCTGCTATCTTTGCAGGGGTTGTGTTTCACTACAGGGCGGCAACCAGCAGGTACACTCTGAATTTTGAGAATGCACAGCAGGCTTGTTTGGATGTTGGGGCAGTCATAGCAAGTCCAGAGGAGCTCAATGCTGCCTATGAAGATGGATTTGAGCAGTGTGATGCAGGTTGGCTGTCTGATCAGACCGTTAGGTAAGATGTCTGGGAGACACGGTTTTTAATTCATCAATTTGGGAGTGAGAATAAAGTACTAATTATTATTCCTTTCTTTCCCCAGGTATCCCATCCGGACTCCTCGAGAAGGCTGTTATGGAGATATGATGGGGAAGGAAGGTGTCAGGACCTATGGATTCCGTTCTCCTCATGAAACTTATGACGTGTATTGCTACGTGGACCATCTGGATGGTAAGATGTTTACATTTATCTAGTGTCATCTGAACTAAGAAAATTGAGGAAAGACAGAGAGCATGTTAGAGTAAAATAAGTCTTTACGCTTGTTTGAATTCCAAACAGCACCATTTAGTTTAAATGACCATATGATTCTGTGGTGATATAAGCTTAAAGTGGAAAGAGAAGGAGGAGTATGTAAATGCTTATGCAGGTTAGAAATGTCTTCAGTTAATAGCAGGTTTTCTTTCAGTCATGCTGCTATTGGACCATTTCCAATACACTTTTAGAGTATTAAGAATAGAAAGCTGTAAGGATGATGGTACTTATTTTTATGAGAACTTCAGGTAAAATCCTGTGATGCCAAACCATTGTGAATCCAAGTGCTGATAAACAACCTAAAGCTCAACTAAATAACCTTAAATAGCCCAGGAGGGTGGTCATGTTACACTTCTGTTTATTTTGCTACGCAGATATTCAGAGCAATCATCCATTCATTTGGCCAATCAACATATTAAAAAAGCTACCTACTTTGTGATAGGTACTCTGCTAGTTGTTAGGGAGGTGAAGCCAGGTAAGTTATAAGCATTGCTTTAAAGATGCTTAGACCATCATATCTCACTTAGCATTAGTTAGAGTTCCCTAAAGACAAAGGCAAGTTCAATAGTGGTCAACATTATCTTAGGAAAGCAATGAAGTTTTATTATTAAACATACGGAATACAAGTTTCTGTGACTTTAGAAATGGAGTTTCATTTATATCAACAGATATCTTAGAAGCCCAAATATGTAAATGGAAGTATTGAATTGAGTGATACATTTAATTTTGGCTGGGTACGCATAAAAAGAATGATCTCTTTATTCTTATCTGTAAAATTAAGAGAATGCACTAGACCACATGTGTCAAACACAAGGCCCGCGGGCCAAATCCGTCCCGCCAGGCCTTGCAATGTGGCCCGCACCGCGCTGTCATCACTGCACTCCGCTGCGTTTCCATCACAATGACAGTTTATGACTGTTCAGTAAACCATTCTGCCCGCGATTTAGGCTGGATTTTAGATTTAGACACCCCTAGACTAGACAATGGACATGGTCTCTTCCAAAATTATAATTCTATGATTTTATGAATTGAATAAACAAACTTAGAGACTGAGAGCTTGAAAAGAAGCAACTTACATTTTCCTGATGCTCTGACTAATTTTGAATCAGAGGGGCTGCCTACAAGAAGTGTGTTTCCCCAGCATCTTAACACTCTTATTGTAACTCTAATTTTAGGCTGATAAATGTATTTTCTAAACCAGAACTTCAGATGCTAAAAGTTCCCTTTTATATAGGGACAAGGAGGAAAAAAATCCATGTCCAAACTATGACATAGTTGTTGTTGTTTTTTCTTCCTTTATTTTAAGTTGGTAGGAGAATCTAGTTCTAGGAAATGAATTTGGCTATTGCTATTTCAGAAAGATGGAAATTTGTATCCAAATTCGGTAAGGTGGAATTTTTAAATCACTGTTGTTTTAATTTAGAATAGTATCTATCAAAGTGATAATTATAAAAATTTCTGGAATGGTGGTAAAACTAGAACTGAATCAAAGTATACATAAGTTCTAATTACCTAAAACAGCTTTACCAAACATCATTGAAATGGTGGCTTTCAGGTACAAATCCATGGCCGGATCCAAACAGGAATAATCATCACAAGCCTAGCTGGCCTGGCTCAGTGACCGAGCTTTGACCTATGAACACGGAGGTCACAGTTCCATTCCAGGTCCGGGTACATGCCCACGTTTCAGGCTCAATCCCCAGGGTGGGGGGGCGTGCAGGAGTCAGCCAATTCATGATTCTCTCTCATTGATGTTTCTATCTCTCTTTCTCCCCTCTCTGAAATAAATAAAAATATATTTAAAAAAAATGATCACAAGCCAGCCTCTCTTGATGGAGAAACAGGCTTATGTACTCACAGTGCTAGGTAGCACTGTGAGTACATAAGGGTCTCTCTGTGTGTCTATTCTTCAGTCTTATCCTGATGGAACAGGATAACTGAAACCCCACTCTCTAAGGCTACAGACTCCTTACATTTTTTTAGAGACCAGAGGACTTTCTATTTCTCCAGGAGTCCTAAAAATTCCATGCCCTCTACAAATATACTGTTTGCGGTACTTTTGACAGGACCACTGGGGATTCTTAGCCACCCTGAACCATTGAGAGCTGGCTTCCCCACTGTCTGCTCAGATATTGCAACTCGTGTGTGAGGGGAACTGGGCCCTGTGGGGAGAGTAGCTCTGAGAGTGTGCATATACACTACAAACAGAGGGATTTACCAGTCTACAGGAGTTCTTTTCCACCTCCATAAACAGCACTTCGAAGGCAACTGTTATTCGTAAAAGTAGTCTATGCCTGAATGTAACCCAGATGTATTTTATACAGTTTCTTGGGACAGATGCTGCACATAGTGATAGCTGAAATTTTATATGTGCAATATTGCATACATTTAGTTTGGGTATTTATATCAAAGCAACAGAATCTGAACCTTCTTGGTTTAGTCCACAAAAGTTGGAAGAAAAGATAAAAGAATCAGTATAATTACTAATTCAAGCACTGACTGAAGGTTGTACTAGCAGAGTGACAAAGTTTTTATTTGTTCCATAGAAGGAACTCAACAAAGTTGGGAGATAGTCAGTATATTTACAATGACATGTTGTAATTGAAATGTTTTCATCCTTGTTTTCTGTCCCTCGAAATAATTCGCCAGTTTTGGGTCACTGGGCTTTTCTCTTTTAACTTGAAATTGGACTGGTAGGGTGAGGAGGTTAACGAGTACTTTTGTGACTGATGATGTAAGAAGATAGCAAGACCATTCTTGTGAGGCCTCTCTCCTTCTTTTACTGAAGGATGTGTCTTCCCTCAGAAGTAAAAACTACTGGCTAAATTGTGCACTGATAAACATTCTTGTGGAAAATTAACAATATAAAATTATATCTGGTATTTCAGTGCCACATTGATAAAAGATTATTTGAAGTAAAGCCAACATTCTTCCTTAGATATATTAATTGCTATATTCATGGGTAGTATAATTCCCACCTATATTATATTGTAGCTATGTGTGAGTGAGAGAGGTGGTGAGGACAGTAAGGATGAGAGATATCGATGTATTCAGAATGTGTGTCATGGAACACGGACACAGTTACAAATAAGGTACAATTTTCAAATTAGAAGCTATATTATTCTAGATGGTCTGATGAAAAATCCAGTGAAGTATAAAATGAAATCTATTGATAGTTCAAAAGGAAAATTAATTTTGTTTTAATGTAGTTACTTATTACCAAAGATATTTAGTTGACAGGATGTCAACCTTTTGTTTTTTTCTTATTTCTTGTTTTATAATACCATGTTCATCCTGACATGTATTTCTTTATAAAAGAGGAAAGTGAATCTGGTTCTTACTCTAAGGTGGTGATTATAACACAGTTATGCAAATGAATACAATATCCTTTACAGACTCTGGGCTTGCTCCTCCCCACACCTCTTCTTTGGTCCTCAGAGAACATAGTATGCCCCTGGACTTCCCAACATTCTGCTTGTCCCTGTGCCTGTCAACACTGGTTCCAAGAGCCCATCTTTGGCCCTCCCAGTTCACATGAAGGATTCCTGGCTCTGAACTCCCACTTTTCTTAGACCGAGTTCCACATATTTTTGGTCTTTAATTACCCCCTAATTGCTTCATAGTCATCAGACACAAAATATTACCTACTAGTTTTATTTCTGCAAAACTTCTGTAAACTCCTGGCAAGAAATGTCCTCTATAACTTTCAACCACAATGAAGGACCCATTCCCGTAATAGATACATAATAATTACTCAAGAAATACTTGGTGGTAATTACGGTATTTCCCCAAACTGTCTTTTTTGAGAATGCCTCCACCACCCTTACATTTCTTTAATATCTCGAAAAAGTGCCAAGCTTTGTTCACCGAATTTTTTTCACTTTTATTGTATCATCATGATACTAATTTTTCTCTTTAAATATCTCCTCTCACTCTTTTCTGTGATGTCTCAGAAAGAATTCCTTCCCAGAGACCCTCTTTCCTCCTTTCCAGCCTCTCACAATAATTTCCCTTTCTGGAGCTGTCCTCTCTGGGATTGGTTCCTTTGTACCTATTCACGAATTATTGGTTGATTTTTCTACTTCTCCATCGTGTCAAAATCCAGGATAGCTCTGGACTTGTCTAATGCTTCCATCTCGTCCATGTGACTGACCTAGAATCAAACATAACCTTTTTGTTTTGTTATTGTATGAGCTCGTGTAGATGTGAAAAGCAAAACTTTAGGTAAAGGCCTGAATGTCGTTGAATGGGATATCAAATCTGGAAATTATGTGATTTCCTGCCTGTAGATTCTCAGATTTTTATACATGGTGTGAGTTGAGAGTCCAAATTCATTATTTTGTATGTATATGTCCACTTATCCCAGCACCATCTATTGAAAAGATTATTTATTTCCCATTTAATGGCCACCCCCTTGAAAATCAAATGATCATAAATATATGGCTTTATTTCTGAACTCTCCATTCCATTCTATTGATCTCTATGTCAGTACCTCATTGTCTTAATTACTATTGCTTTGTAGTATATTTTGAAATTGAAAAATGTGAGACCACCAATTGTGTTCTTTTCTTTTAAAAATTGTTTTAGCCATTCCTGGTCCCTTTAGTTCCCATATTAATTTTAGGATCAGTTTGTCAATTTCCATAAAGAAGCCAGCTGTGATTCTAATAGGGATTGCATTGAATTTCTAGGTCCATTTGAGATGTATTGCCATCTCACCAATATTAATTCTTTAGATTCATGAACATGTTTTCCTATATTTATTAGATCTTCTTTAATTTATTTCAATTATGTTTTTAGCTTTCAGAGTGTAAATTTTGCAATATTTTTATTAAATTTAGTCCTAAAAATTTTAGCTTTTTGATGCAAATGTAAATGAATTTTTCTTCATTTCTTTTTCTGTTTGTTGCAAGTATAGA